TGTTGCTCTTCTCTGTACTCTTTCTAGAGTCTCAGCATCTTTTTTACATCGTGGTGACCAAAACTGGATGCAGTATTCCAAGTGTGGCCTTACTAAGGCATTGTAAAGTGGTATTAATACTTCACGTGATCTTGATTCTATCCCTCTGTTAATGCAGCCCAGCACTGTGTTGGCTTTTTTGGCAGCTGCAGCACACTGCCGACTAATAATGCAGCGGGTGCATCCAGTATCAATTAGCACATTTAAGTCCATTTGTGCCCCAGACTTAGGGATTATAAGCTTGGCGGCCAGTGAAAAAGGCGGGATTTGTTGAAAGCTAAAGTGCTTTCACTGATTGTAACATTATCCCATAACCAAGCATATACCAAAATTCTGCTACAACATTCTGAACAGATGAAATTTCCAAAAGTACTTTTAAGGCAGCATTATTATTATTCAGCAGGTATATAACAGGTATGTGTTTCCATAATCAAGGCTATTTCTTTCAAAAATGGACATAGCAAATATACCAATCTAATCTGGACTTAGCTACCCCTAGGCAGGCTGTGGCCTGATCCTTACCTAAAATATGTTCAGTCCCAAGTTCAGAATCCTTTCTCCTTCCAACAGGAATCTCCTCCATCTTAACTGAATTAAAGCATAACCTAGTATTCCAAGTTTTACCAGCTCCAGCACCAATTCAAGACATCAACAATTTCTGAATAACAGATGAAAAGAACAAGTCGATATATACTACCTTTGTTTTATTTCATAGAAGTCTTTCCAAACTTCCAGAAGTGCAGAAGAAAAATAGCCATGCTATTCTGCAAACTATGATACTCACGTACCTCATCTTCCAATTAAGCTATGGAAGATATCTTGTGAACAAGATATCCTATCACATCAAATATGTGACAACCTGTTTCAGATTTTGTGGTGGTCATTGTTACAAGGAGAAAGACGCTGTAAATAATAGCAGTAGTTCTGCTTTCTTTATTTTAATTCCCAGAGAAACTTTCAGTCTTCATCTGCTGTCTGCCTTTTCTTTTTGTATGGCCAACCTAGCAGCACTCTTGACACACTAAACGCCACTCCTGAATTTAGCTCTAAGCAATTCATAAGCAAAAGAAGGTTGAATTTAAGCTCTCTTCTCAGATACTTAGCATGCCTGCTGTATTCTAAGCATTCTAAGTACCCTCTACTGTGTATGGAATATTCCATGTATACTCTTCATGTAAAGGAATCTGAAGCTCAAATAACATCAGTAAATTTGCTGTTGCTAAATCAAAGTGTTTTGAAAGGCCAAGGAAAGAGCAAATATGTAAACCTAATGCCACCACCTTTTTTTGACATTGGAAGTTGCAACATTTGCATAAGAGGACTGCATTAGAGAAACTTTCTGAAAGGCAATCAATTATATGTGTGAAGTTACACCTTGTGGTTGTAACAGTGGATACGTCTGAGCAAGAGGAACAAACATGCAAATGTTTGTATTGTATTGTGCAACAAAGCAAGAATGCTGTTCTGCGAGACTTGGCATAATACTAAGGCTCTTGTATAGAGATATCTTTAAAAGATTTAATCTCATTGTCAGAAGGATCAAACCCTTATTTTTTCTCTATTCATTTCCAAGACGAGAATTTAATAAAAATCACCACACGATCAGTGGAGAGTCAAAAGAAATATGTTTATTCAATCAAAAGTTGCAATTGCTCTGTCATCATAAATTCTTCTTCCTGTGCAATCCTTCCTTCTTTCCATATTCTGCTAAAATAGAAGTTTCCTTATCTTAGAGTTACAGGAAACTTCCTTATTTATTCTGAAACAGATGCCTCTTCATGTAGAGCTAAAACAATGGACATTTTGTCTTTCCTATTCACATGTTTTTCTATACATAAGATATAAGTTTTCCTTTATGTGGGTTTTGCTACATGGAATACTCATTTGTTTATACTGGCAGGAACCAGCATTACTGTCTTCTCTTTACAATCTTTCCTTATTGTAAAAATGTAAGA